TCCTTAGGACCCCAGCCAGGCAGTCGGGATGCACCAACCGACGCCAACTTCGAAGTGAGGGTTTTCATTCCTCTCGACCAAGTCATCACTTGGCCTCCCCTCCTCTTCTTCCAACCGCACCCACAAAGAGCAAACAATGCACGTCGCGGGAGTCGGTGTGCTGGCATGCGCAACACATGGCCCAGCCATCGGAGCCTGGTGCGTGATATAATGGTGCTGAGCGGTTCACTCGCTCTTCCTGCACCAAATACGCGACGTCGAACACGATCATTGCTCACGCGGTGTTCCCACCAGACATGAGCTAAGCTGCGAAGGCAGCGATGATCGAATGTGACGAGTCTCTTCATGTCAGTCGACCTGATGGGCCAGGTTTCACAACCATATAGGAGAGTTGAACGGACGGCTGCGTTGTAAACTCTGCCTTTCAGGGCAAGAGTAATGTCGCGTCTGCGCCACAGGTGGCGGAGATTGGCAAAAGAACCTCGAGCTTTTCCTATGCGGTTCGTAACCTCATCTTCAATCCCACGGGTGCTAATATAGCTGCCCAGGTACTTGAATTCCTGAACGACTTCTAGCAGATCACCACCAAGCGTTAGCGCATGGTTGGGTCCCTGCCAATCTTGGAGAATTACTTTGCATTTCGATGGAGCAAAGCATAGCCCAAAACGACTGACAGCCAGTGCTAATCGGTCTAGTGCTCTTTGGCATGTTTGGAGGCTGTCACAGATTAGGGCAATATCGTCCGCATACTCCAAGTCAAGAAGTCGCTCACCAGGAAGTAGCTCCACACCATCTAGGTCGTGTCCAGCGAACGCTGTTTCTATGACTTCATCAATAGCGAAGTTGAAGAGGAAAGGTGACAGCGGGCATCCTTGTCTCACGCCGCTGGTGATACTGAAGGGTGGCGAGAGTTTGCCATAAACCCTCACCCTGCCCGAACTATGCGCGTACAGCGCTTTGATAATGTTTACATATTTATCAGGCACACCTTTCCTCAGCAGACAGTCCCAAAGGGCACATCGATCGACCGAATCCAAGGCACCTTTTATGTCAAGAAACACGACAACGATGGGTCGGTAATAAACATGGCGGTGCTCCAACACTTGACGCAATGTGAAGATGTGGTCGATGCAGCCCCGACCTCGACGAAATCCGGCTTGCTCTTCACGAATCTGGCTTTCACGAGTGCCAGTCAGTCTGTGGAGAATGACAGAGGCAAGCAATTTAGAGGCAATCGAAATCAGACTGATCCCTCTATGATTGCCGCATTCCAAACGAGAGCCTCCCTTGAAAATTGGGACAATGACGGAGCGGTTCCAGTCTGTCGGGACTGTCTCCTGCTCCCAAAGTCTTACTAGCAACTTGTGTAGATCATCTACTAGAGCAGGTCCCCCGAATTTGAAGAGGGCTGGGGGAATTCCATCTGCTCCTGAGGCTTTATGCAATTCCAATAGCCGGATCTCACGTTCGACCTCTGCGCGTGAGGGCGGATCCGAGGAGACGGCCCAAGGAGAAGGGCGCTCAATGCCCGAAGAAGAAAGCGATAACTCAGGCTGGTTAAATTGCCTTGCAAAGTGTTCGGCCCAACGCTCCAAGCGTTTTGACAAGCTGTGGATCGGCTGCCCACTCTCGTCGCGTATGGTCTCGCTAACACCAGGTCTCCTGATGCCTGTTTCCCGTATCAGACGGAATAACTTACGATGATTACCCACGGCAGCGGCTGTTTCCATCTCAGAGGCACGATGAGACCACCAGGTTTCGCGGTCCTTCCTAAGGCTAGCACTTAGTTCTGCCCTGAGATTTTTGCGAGCCTCATTGTATTCGCTTCCAGCCGGAATACGTCGGCGAGCACCCATAAGTTCCATAGACTGTGTAGAGACCCAATGTCCGGTTTGGCGATTTGTTTTGCCACATGAAGACATGCCTGCGGACAGTAACGTTTGACGAATATGCGACCAGTGATCTTCAACGGTGTTTAGTGCGCGCTTACTCAGCCCAGATGTCAGCGCACTATGGTATACATTCAGAACATCTGGGTTCGCCAGCTGGCTGGTGTCAATCCGTTCACCTCGACGTTGCGGACGTCCACCGAAACGCACCAGGAGGTCGGCACAGACAAGTGCGTGGTCAGAGTCCACGCTCGTGCTCCAAATTGAGCGACAATTTCGGACACATCCCCTCCAGCGGTAACTGATCGCGATATGGTCGATTTGTGTCCATGGTTGGCCCGAGGCTGGTGGGCGCCAAGTCACGCTTCTGCGGGTGCTGTGTCGGAAGTTAGTGCTCGCGAGAAAGAGGCGAGTGTCTTCACACAGATGTAGCAATCGCTCACCATTATCATTACGCGAGCCAACACCATGTTGGCCGCCCAGATGAAGCTCATCAGAGGACAACTTTCCGACTTGGGCGTTTAGATCACCAGCCAACACCACAGTATCCGTGCTTCTTCTGTAACGAAGGAGCTCGTGAAGTTGCTGATAGAAATCATCTTTTACCGAATCGGTGCTATAGTTTGTAGGGGCGTAAGCCGCAATGACAAACAGGCACCGTTTGTCCCCGCGCGACTTCGTAGCATGGAACGAACCAGCTAATCTAACGGCACACATCCTACTGTTTACTGGGATCCAATCGATCAGGGCAGCTTCAGCCCGGGGACTCAAAACAATGCCGACGCCAGCTTGACCGGCATTTGAAGCTGCATCATCGCCAGACAGGTGTAATGAGAATGTGCCGCCAGTGTCGCATGTGGGGAATCTCAGGGTAAGTACGGAGCTCGAATCTTGCAGGCGGGTTTCTGATAAACAGCAAATATCGATCGATAGGGTCTCTAGTGTGCGGGCAAGTGCTGCCTGTTGGCCAATCTGTAGCAAAGTGCGCACGTTGAAGCATGCCAGTCTTAGCGAGACGCGAGGACTCCAAAGGGAAACGGATGAACTGACGTTGTCCGCTTGCTTGAACATGGACTTGTCAACTGGATTGGAGCGAGGCCCTGGGATTGTGTGTGATTTGAAATTAGAAGACAAGCGACTACTGAAGAAAGCTGGGGGAGGGCCAAGAATTGGGGGGTTGAAAATGGGTGGGATATAAGTAAAGTTGGAGCGGGACGATAAGGATGAAGAAGCGCAAGAAGGGGTATAAGAACATCATAGTATGAAAGGTGATAAAAGTGCTCAAAGAGATCGAGATATGGGTCTAAATTTGTATATCGAGCCAACTGTAGAGTAAGTAAAAGAGGACAAATACAGAAAAAAAGCATTTTAGACGCGACCGAGTACAGGAATGAATAATGAAATAAAACAATAAAATTAGTAAATCAAATGCAAAAGTAAAAAAGAACACAGATGGCATAAGTGGAAAATAAACGAGTCCGAACATTAGAGCCACATCACCGTATGGTACAAAAACCGCCAAATTCGTTTCAAAAACAATAGATGTTGCTGCTCAGTACAACATCCGAGTGCAGGTCTCCGAGTGGACGGCGGATATATCGATGCTTACCAATGTATTGGATGGAAAATGCGTACACTCTGAAGACCGCATTATGTTAGCTGCACACTATGCAGGTGTAGCAATCTAGAAAGTTGATGGATAGAATTGACCAAGGTTCACTACAATGCGAATCGCCGTCCACAATGAGATTAAGCGTCGCAATCCATGGTCTTTCAAAATGACATCCCAATCAATCTATTAAGTTCGTTAGCTTACATTTTGTGGGATGCTCGGGTTTTATCGTCACTGGATTTCGACGGAACCACTACATCATACATGTCAATTCCATTACTAGAACAAAACTTGAAGCTTGAATTACTTTACTTTCCATATCGTTTCTAATTTCACAGGTAAACAGTTGAAGATGACGCGCAATGAAGAAGAGCAGCCAGTGCCATTTTCCACCGAAGAGAACTACCTTTTCGTTTTCATGATCGTTGGGATGGTAACGCTGGTCCCATTGATAGCAATCACCGCGGTTGTTAATATCCGCGCTGGGATCCCAAGAACCTGCCGCTTCCTATGTTTATGTTTCACAATGACGTTGGGTTCGGGAGTCGCAGCAATGTTTTTGGTACACTTCGCGCTTAGTCCGCAGGACATACACCTGGCGCGCGGTGATCAAGTCATGATTGGGCAGCCCAACAACGGCTACACAATGGGATCAAATCAGATACGTGCTTTCGCGTGCGACAAATTAAGCGTGCAGACGAATCAGATGGGAGTCATTGTGTGGGCAATCAGTGTGTCACTCAATCGTGGTTCGTCTAAAAATTACAGTCTAACCATGAGTAACTGGACGCTTCCTACGTACGCACGCCTCAGGTTGGGAGGTGGTGATGCCCTTCGTGTCCGGAATTGGACCTCGTCAGTGACAGTGGTGCTCCTGAAGGGTGAAGATTCGTGGAAGGCGTGGAGTACGTCGGATACACACCAACTTGGATACGAGAAGTGTTGTGCGTGGAGGGATTTACAGCCCAATTTGTCAGGAAATGAGCAACTAGAGATTGATGAGGACGATATTTACACAGTCATACTACGTAAGGAAGTGACCAAACAATCCATAGGTAAGCGAGAACAGGAGTCAGATAACATCAATTTCAATGGTGCGATCGATTTGAGGAGAGTACGTTGGGAGCCGACGCCTTGTGATCCCATAATATGCGATGGATCTACGAAGCAATGTCACGCGGATAATACACCAAAACGATATATAATCGACTATGCGGTGGAAACCATGTCTGCTCCTCCATATGGGGAAGCGACAGTGCGTCTGATATGTCACCCACGACATTGGGTTCTTGGACTCATTTTTAGCGCGCTACCCATTTTGGTTTTGATACTTACCTTGGTGATTTGGAAGTCAAGTGATCGTAGAGAAGAAATGCGATTTTTGGACAAAGTAGTGGAAGGAACGATACCAAAAGCATATATGTCGAATCAAGAAGAGAATGGCCCCCGGAGAGACCGGCAAAATCCTGCTTTCGAAATGGACATTGTATGATACTAACCTGGGATTTTTGTAGACAATACTCTGATGACAGACGCCTTTTCTTGTTTCCAAGTAAGATAGCCTCGGATGGTGAAACACCAAGCTCTTCAGCATAAATGGAAAGCTTTTCATCGAGAAAATCACAAATCTTTTGGCCGAAACCTTCTAATATGCGGCATTCTTTTCCACTGCTGAGAAGTAAAGGATATTTCTGGAGGGACAATAAGGCCTATCAAGTGTCTAGTAAAAGTCCTCAGTCGTACATACTTCATACCTTTCGGTATGTGTGATGGGATTTAGCTTGTCTGGCAAAAGCATCATTCATGGCTTCTGTTAGCCATTGCTCAAACAACAGATTCGGTCCGCACTTAGACCGCTTCTTGTAAGCGCCAGATAATCGGGACGGCATTGTCTCCTTTGGTATATCTAGGAAAAAAACAGATTAAAAAATAGTAGTTGAGAAAACAGTAGAGATGGAATGCGCTATCAGAGCAGTGTAATCACAACGCGGAAAAAGTGACCCTATATGCCTCCATGCTGATCCATGAGCGAACAAGCCAGTGGTTGCTAGTACAACCATGAATTACCAGTTGCTGAGAAAGCAGCGGATCAATTCATGAGTAAGACACAAATCCAAAGAGCGGAAACAAATCAAGGTCGTGCAAAGCGTTCGAGTTAATATGTACAGTAAAGTCAAGGACAGAAGGCCTCACTAAAATTTTAAGTGGCAGGAGGCGGCAGTGAATGAAGGTAGAAAAAATACAAAGGGTGTTTGAAGTTTGATTTGGAGTACCCGCTGTGTGGCTGGATTGCGACACGCAATCTCAATTTAGACCTCGATTCACGTTGAAGTAGACTTTGGTCATTACGATCACAAAGACTGTATCCGAACTGATCGTTCGGTGTTGCACCTCCCAATGTTGGGAGGAGCAACAGTGAACCATCTCCAGTGCAAAAGATGATGAAGGAAAATATCTGTTTCGTGAAATGTAGATAAGGAAATTGCTACAGTGATATCATTACTGCGTAGTAATGAGCTTGAACTGTGAAATTTTAAGTTAGCCACTCAATGACCTGGGTAAAGTGGTTAACATACAGAGGTCTAGATCCATAAAGTTTACATGGTGAACGTACAAACAATAAAAACCGGTCAATTTAGAGGGGTAGTCAGGACATAGAGATGGTCAGCATCGTAGGTTTTGCTGTGATATATCCGACATTCGAAAGAGCGAGAAGTACATGCGCAACAGTAATTGCAGTTCGATTATACATAGTCAAAGTAAGCAGTTGATCGGTCAGTGTTTAAGAAAACCCATTTCGCCTAGAGGGTCGGAAGGACGAGAAGATTCAAAAACAAAGGTTTAATAGTAGCATTTGAAAATTGCACATGGTTAATCTCACAATATGTAATAAACGGACTGTGCGCATTGAGAAGTAACTTAACAAGCAAACGGCATCCGACGTCACAAGCCTAGGGTCTTCAAGACATCCAAGTACGCAATTCTCATTTAAAAAAGTGTTAGTAATACACTGTTAATTCGTACTAATACAGCATTGCTATTCAACCGCAAGCGGTCGTACGTGGGCTGAGATGCTGTTGTGTCACAGTGGTTTCAACTCAGATGCCTGAACCACTAAACCCGAGATTCCTAAAAAGTTGATATCCCGTAGCCTTAAAGATCGCAAGCCTGTTTTACAATCCGATGGCGCGGGTTTGAGCCTACGTAGAGACCGGGCGACCCTCGCAGTATACGTAGCCCACTTGCGACTGGTGGTGGTTGCACGGTAGCGAAGCGCCGGTATTGCGTACCTATATGCTCCTGATGCCTTTCTATTTACTTTTCCTGACAACTACAATTTCTCCTCTGTGTCAGAAAAGTTAGCGCACGGTGCAAGGTGAGTGAGCTGGTTAGCAAACCGGTGAACAACAAATGAGAAGGACCATTCAGACCTACTAACGAATGGGATCTCTTGGTCAAAAGGCTAACAAGAGCCTTATTATGCATGAACTAACGTGAAACACTAGTAGCTTGTGTTCCGAGATAGTAAACGTTTTGCTAGAAGCATGATAATAAAGTATCTTGAAACGGACAGGTGTACTTGCAGAAAATCCATGGGTAATAGCTACGTGAACGCTGGTCGCATCAAATGTTCCTCAAATGTAACATGATCAAACTAGGGAACAAAGCTCAATGTCAGGTTAGCCAAGCGGGAGATCTCAGCTTGTATGAGTAAATGTGATTCAGACTGGTAAGTAAACCATTCAGAACTATTCGCTTGATCTAAGCAAACTTGTGCAAGTTGCGTATTCAAGAGGCTGCAAACTGAGTTGAGAGACCCAAAAACAAGTCTAGCGGGAATAATCAGATGGGGCTTGCACAGAAACGTAGCACTGTGAAGTTGGCCCCCGGAAGGAGAAGCAAGCGAAATATGAAGCAGAATTCTGTGATCAAACCACCCGATGAAGAAAGTACAGAATAGCACGAATAAGGTTCGTCGGCAGAACATAGAACCCAGTGAAGGAACCGTGTATTGTTGGCTATTTGATACGTACGGAAATGAAATTCGTGATGCAACAACCTCAAATACTGACTTGCAAGTTCGTCACTCTCGCGCGGGCTTGGGTGCCTCGGCTATGCACTAACACCCGTATAATCGTTTTCAATTACGCAGTATTGAAGCTGCAGTACAAAGTGATTGCGTATTAAAAATACTAAATGGAAAAATGAAACGAATTAATATAAAGTAACCCAAATAAGAGGCATTGCGGCCGTCGGCGTGCAACTGTTAAAGGCGTAGTATGGGTGCGTACGAAGAATTCTTCACGGGTAACCTCATCAGACCATTCCGCTTACGTGACGGGTTGTATGTAGAAGGGCCAGAAAGAGCCAAATATTGATTACACGCTGTTCGAAGGATGGATTCGATAACCTAAGTCACAGCTACAAATAATGTACTCAGTAAACAAATGGAATAGTAGGCACAATCACTCGAGAAAACTAAGCTAGACAGCTCAAATGGCAATCAAATAGTTAAAAGTGCTCGCTGGCCAATGTAACAAAATAGGCCGCAAGTATTTCTTCTGGACATCTATCTAAGGTTTCAAGTGGTGAAAGTACTATATGGCCTGAGGAAAAGATACCAGTTGTTTGCGGTAACATGGCGAGTAACGTTCAGGCAATGAATAGAGCACTTCGAAGTCGTTCTCTGGTGCTGCATGGCCGTATTCACAGTGACAAAACTAAGCTATTTAAAGAGTTCATTTCACCTCAGTAGAATAACATTGGGATATGCTCGCGGATCCACTGGGATAAACGCTTCGAAGTGCGGAAGACGTACCGTGAACCCCAGGAGCATGAGTATAGATAAACAAGCATTGATTGAACCAAGGAGGGTAGTTTACAATTTAAGGGCCTGGCAAGAAGTGGCTTATGGTAGTAAATTATTCTCAAGCGATGAGAGGGCTAATGTGTTCTCCGAGCTGGCTAATTTTGTTGCAGACGTTTCATTGCCAAGCTAGGCAACCATTACATTTTCTTCAAACATAAACTTCATCCTGCATTGGCCGTCGCGCAGATTATCAAGAGTCGCCTTATCTGCTGCATACAGCAGGGCGGATAAGCGAAAACATGCTACTACTGGCGCCTCCCTTCTTTCTTTTCCACCTGTTTCTCTTACTCCCATCCCGACCCCCATTACTAACCTTCCTTCTATAATTCCTAGCTTAATTGGCAGCAACCGAAATGTCACTGGAGTAGAAACATCTGCAGCTACCATCCCACAGCATCCATGAATTAATTACTAGATGGGATATTGCGCCGCTCATTAATTCACGATGGTCGTAACCGTCCCAAGTAGCTCAGTGGTCTCAACCACGGACTGTAATCAGTACGCAGACCAACTGCTTATAATTCCATAAGTTAAGTGGCGGCTTAAATTTGTTAAGCTCGTTGCTTGGAGAGGGTATAGCGCGTGCACCGTGCGCTATATATCCGGTACGCGACTAGACGGCTAACCAAAAGTAGTGGGTAGAAGACACAAAAGTAAACTAGGGAAGAAGTTTATTGGACGGGAGGAGCGTTAGCTAATGCTAAAAATAGGGCACCCGGAGAGAGTTAGCTAGGGAAGATGTCGTTGGCGTCGAGAGCGCAGACGGAGCGTCGTTTGCCGTCGAGCCGTGCGCCAAAGGCGGAGATCGTTTTCGTGTTTCCAACAAACGGGAACAACGTTCCAACAGGCAAACCGAATGGTTCCCTAATACATAAGAAAGCTATAATTTGAATATTTTAGAATAGTTTACACAGTCATACGGGGGAATCTCCAGGTCGCTACACAGCCCCCCTCCTAGAAGGGAAACCGTGGGTGACCCTTCGATCTACGTGAGGACTGTCCGTCACGGGCCAGCCTTCTGCGAGACCAGGGAGTGAAACCTGATGCAGCTGCTGGGGGAGAACCAGGCGATCGGATCCTAGCGGGCTCCCACCCGTGTCCTCCCTAACGGTGCCAAAAACACAAAATGGGGGAAGTTCGTAAGCGTTAAATGTTCGCGAGTTCGTGAAGGTCAAGTGTTCGCTTCAGCCTCGGCATCTCCTCCGGTTCATACATGGAAGATAAACGGTAACAAGGGTAGTGACGGTGAAGGCGAGGGCAAAAATAAGAGTGACACTTACCGGATGAGGTAGGCGTCAAGCGAAACGTAACTCCTTGCATGCGTTTTCAAAACGTTTTATGCTTTTTTTGGTTTTCAAAACGTTTTGCGTTCTTTTGGGTTTTCAAAAAGTTTTGTCGGTATTTTTTAGCGTTTTCAAAAGCTTTTGCCGATTTTTTGGGTTTTCGTACGTGGTTGGCCAAAAGGGAAAAGAAAAACGATAAGGAAAGTGAAAGAAACACTAATCCCTTAATCGCGCTGGCCAATGAACGCGTCTACCCGACCTAGTCGACTTGTTCGAATCAGAGGAAGGCGTCGTCTTAGACGTCCTATCGGATCGCAAAATTGGAGGAACTGCTGAAGACGTGGCAGTTGGTTCGATGGGAAGCGGTGGAGCTGAAGTGGAAGGCTTGGATGGGGCGTGAAACTTGGGGTCAGGGATGTTGGAAGCAGTCGAGTTTTCCATCACAGGCTGCGTTGATTCGTCAGAAGACAAGTAAGGGTCTTCGTTGAGCTCAGGTTCCACGTGGGCAACCTTGAGACGGTCAATTGTAACGGCTTCACGTTTACCGTGACGGTCGATGATGAAAACGCGGTCCTTACGCCGCAGGACCTTGAAAGGACCTTCGTAAGGTCGCTCCAGTGGTCTGCGGAGACCATCGAGGCGGAGAAAAACGAACGGACAATGCTGCAGGTCTTGTGGAATAAAAGATTTACGTTGTTGTTCTCTAACGTCGGGAAGTTTGTACTGACGCATGCTC